TCCCTTCCTAAAACCAAAGAATATCTACCTGGGATCCTTCTACCATCTTACTTAAATCTTTCTAGAACTGAAGAAAAGTCCATGCAAATAAAGACACACCGATTGGCTTTCCTTGATTTTATGAGCCACCCCATTTTCAGACTGATCCATCTGATCAAAGTAGATCAATCACTGGAGAATACATTTGCATAGAGGGAAGTCTTGAGAAGATGTCTTCATTTAGGTTTTCGGTCATAATATAGCACCTCAGCAGGACAATTTCTATCAGATTCCATTGGGCATCACATTTGCCCTGAAACAAAAGGGCAGTGAATGTTAAAATTGTGTAATTGTGCTTTGATTGTACATAAAAAGCATCCCATTCTCTCTCTCTTTCTTACTTTTTTTTATTAATATAAATAAAAAAGAGCAACATATTCAAAATCCATATAGACAATGTGTTATCTGGTTATAGTTCTTTTGGGTAATAACCATCACAGTAATGATAATAATATTCTCTAATAGTAATCTCATAATAACAGTGCTTTTCCCTCATAACATCAATACATATTGTTAATACTAATCTAAACTAATCAAAGTTAATAAGTTACAGTAAACAATCCTAATAATAAGATTAATCTTTCTTTTATGGTTTTTATTTATTTATTTATTTATTTGTTTAAATTTCTATACCGCCCTTCTCCAATATAGGACTCAGGGTGGTGAACAGCCAAAGTAAAAACAAGACATACAAAATCTAAAAACTGTTTAAAATAATTAAATATTTTGAAGTTCTAACTCCTGTTTCTCTCGTTTAACCATCGATAGAAGAGATCCCATACCTCAAAATATTCAAAATGTCTTCCTTTTCCGTAATTTCAAATGTTAGTTTATTCGTTTCTGCACATTCTAAAATTTTTGTTATTATCTTTTCTCCTGTGGGGAATCTCCACGCCCTTCCAATGTGCGAACCTGAAACGCATCCCATTCTCTCCTTATATTTACTTCAAACTCTTTATACCATCTAATTCTCTAATTCTCTTTCCTTCCTCGAGATCTGCATGAAGTATTTTGCAGCTGGTGAAATTGATCAATCTGTTGCACAGAAGAGAGTTTCAGGAGTGATGGCAGATGTTCTAGGAGGGTAGCACCCTCTGCTGCCGAGTCCTGTGACCATAAATGGGGGACCTGTATGTTCTTCCATCCAAAATACATTTCAGAGAATGGTGGCCTAGTCCCAAATTTGTTCAAGCTTCCCTCTTTCCCTCTCAGAGCAAATCAGGTTGTTTAATGCCCTTCACACCTGGTTGAGGTGGGTCACCCGGGAGTGCAGAGAAAATTATGCAATCATTTGTGGCAGAAAAGTAGAGGAGGAAAGCACATAACTTTCCTATGGCTTTGATGATGATCCATGACTGGGACTCTCTTGCCTTGGAATTGGAATAGCGGAGTTCAGAGGCATTGCTCGGCGTGATTGATGTAATGTGAAGGAGACATCTTCTCAACAGAAAAGAGGGTTGAAATGTGGGTGGTGTTATGTCATGCCTTTAAGTCAGGGGAGGTTTTTGATTAAGCTCCTGTCTGATGTTCCTCACTGTGTTACCCAGCATAACAGTAATAGTCCCCTTCATCCTTTCCCTGCGCATTGTTGATGGTTAAGAAAGCTGTATTCTTGGGGGTGTTTGCAGAAGCAGAAAAATGACCAGAGGCCTCAGGGCCAAATTTTGTCTCTCTGGAGGTTGTATTATAAAAGAGCAGAAATCTGGGTCTTTCCCCTCCCTTTTGCTGGTACCATGAGATGGAGCCAAAGGTGTACTCATTGGTAATATTGCAGGAGAGTTTTGCTGGTTCTCCAAGAGATTTAGAGAGGGCAGGTTCTTGAATCAACCTGAATTTAGACATTACACCTGAAAGGAGAAAAATCACTATTAAAAACCCTTCAAAGATGGGAAGCTGAAGCAAACGGGATTGCCCCGTGTGACAAAATAGCCAAGTTAGGTGTTTGAGTTCACCTGGAGAGTAGGCGAAGAGAAGTAGAAGCAGAGTCCACACCATGATGGAGAAAATGAAGGGGAGGAAGGTCTAACTTTCTTGTGACCCAAAACCAGAGGACTTTGATGGCCCTCACTTCTCAGTCTATATTTAGCTCTGCCTTAAAAGCTCATGCAAATATCCCTGGAGCTCATTGGCCAGAAGGAGCGAAGAAAACAGTATTTAATGAAACATCCAGAGACGAAACCAGCAATACCGTTTTAAGTCCTGTAAATCAATAAGTAAATCAAATAAAAGAAGTTCAATGTGGCAACAAATCAATGTTCTTCTCTTGGCCTTGGGAGCTCTTCAAACTCCCATTAGGATGTAGGGTCAGGCTAAATCTATCTGTTTGTCTTATTTTGTTTTATTTATTTATTTTATTAAATTTGTATACCGCCCTACTCCCGAAGGACTCAGGGCGGTGAACAGCCATAAAATAAAACATATAGATACAAAATTTAAAATAGAGATAAAACTAATTAAATAAATTTGGCTGAACCATTTTAAAACCCCAATAAATTAAGACAATAACTGAGACAATAATTGTCTCAGTTCCCCATTAGATTGTCTCACTGTGGAACGAATTGCTATACCACATGCAACAGTAATAATCAGCCTCGTCTTCAGCCTGAAGGTTGGTGATGGTTAAGTAGCCATTGTTGCCTGATCGGGTTGCCGTGAATTGGTCTGGGATCCCTCGTCCCCTGGTGCTGCAGACATCACAGTGCACAAAACGAAGGATTTCCCCAGATCTCTGCTGAAGCCAGTCAATGGTATTTGGATTGGTGCCGATGGTACAAGAGAGTTTAATTGTCCCTCCTACAGATCCAGGCTGGGAGGCAGGCTGAATCAAGGTGGCCTGACAAGTGACACCTTTACAAAGTGTGAGGGTGGGGGGGGGTGGGGAAATAGAGGAAATAATAATATGTTATATTATCTGAGCCTCCAAAAATCCCAGAACCATCCTTTGGATGAACCATACTGGATTTCATATTGTGCAAACTAGCGAGTTTTTACTAGTTTAAAAAGAGGTTCTCCACATACTTACATGAGAAATAAGTAAGAAGTGAAAGGGAAACCAGTGTCCAGGCCATGGTCTCAAAAAGTCTCCCTTGCTAAAATCAGAGAATATCTACCTGGGATCCTTCCATCTTGTTACTTAACTCCTCCTAGAATTGAAGAAAGGTCCGTGCAAATATAAATACATTGATTGGCTTTCATTGAATTGGTTTTGAGCAATGATTGGAGAAGACATTTGCATAAAGGGGATGCTTAAGAAGTTCCTTCATTTTGTGATAAAGAGACCCATTGACTTTAAACCAGAGATATTTTTATTGGGGATCATACCAGAGATATATAATTAGGAATTGCAATATTTAATTGTGAACCTTTTAACAGCAGCTAGAATCGTATTTGCCAAAAACTGGAAAGGAGAAAAGATAATTACTGATGAAGAAATTATTAAGAAAATGATGGACTGTGCTGAAATGAGTAAATTGACATTTGAAATAAGAGAACAGGAAGACAAACAATATTATTTGATATGGGATTTATTTTACCAATGAATGGACAATAAAATATGGAGATAAATATGAAATAAGTAGACATTGAGATAAATTAAGTGAAATATCTTTTTTTGGAAATAAATTTTTGGATATATAGCGATATTTTGAAGGGAGGAAGGAGCACAAAAAGATGTTAACCGATCGATAAACTGTCTGTAATTATTTGGAATGGTGATGGTTTTTATGTTTGTTTTTTGTTTTGAAAATAAAAAAAAATTGATTAAAAAAAAAAAGAAGTTCCCTTCATTTCGGCTTTCTGTCCTAATGTGGGAGTCCGAACAGGACAATTTGACCAGACTTCCTTGGACACTCCATTTCCCTTGCAATAAAAAGGCAGCTGAAAGTACTGTATCTTTCTTCAACTTGTTCTGTTGTAATTGTGTTTTGATTGCAAAAAGAGATTGTAATTCTCTTATTATACTTACTTCTCTCCATCAACTGGCAATCTCTAACAATTCCAGGTACCGTGGAATGCCAATGGGAAGACTCTCTCACTTTTGTGTCCTTCCATTTCCAATTAGATTCCATACAACGTTACCCAGAAGAGGACAATTGGCTTGGCTTTAATTATCTCCAGCATGTCACGTCTGAAGTTCTCCAAGAAGAATGTCTGAGTTTAATGATTTCCTCGATGCTAAATTCAGGGGATGAATTCTATTCCCCTATTAACAAAGGACGTCATGTGCAAACCAACAAACCTTCTGAGAAACCAGCTTGCCCCATTTTTTGGGGTGGGTGTGTAGATGCAGTCAAGAAGAGAGAGACACGGGGAAGGGAAGGATTAGGAGAACCTGCCTTAGATCTGCAAGAGGAATATTCATCTTAGAACTTTTTAATTAAAACGTCTCATTTATTTTCAACTGCAAAATGTCAACGTAGGGAATGAAACCAATGTATTAACATTTCTTTACATCCATCATTTTATTCTCTTGTGATCAAAAGAGCGAATTCTGTTCTTGTGTGTGTTTTAGTTGGATTCTTCTTGTGGAATATAGATTTCTTGGTCAATCTCGGCCTGGAAGAGGCAGCCTGCAGCATCCTTTCATTAGGACCACACAATCTTTGAGCAACTCTCTGCTCTTCAAAAGAAGAAGAAGGTTTATGTCTCAGTTTGTGGAATTGGGATCGTAGAAACACACAGGAGCATAGAAGAGTTCAGAGGCAGATGCATAAATAAATGTCTTAAACGTATTTATTCATATGATAAATCATATTAACTATGTACAACAGAGATCAAGTCTCATGAGGAACAAACATGAAAAGAGAGAGATGGAGAGAGCATAAGGTGGAAAAGGTTGGAGGGGGTTTTATACTCAGGGTAAGCCCCTCCTTTCCACATAGGGGTGGAGACACTCTCTGCCTCCACTGATGTCTATATGACACATGTGCCAATGGCTTGCAAATACTTGACACAGTTCCCCATTAGATTGTCTGACTGTGGGACGTGTGGCTATACCACATAAAGCAATAATAATCGGCCTCGTCTTCAGCCTGAAGGTTAGTGATGGTTAAGTAGCCATTGTTGCCTGATCGGGTTCCTGTGAATCGGTCTGGGATCCCTGGTCCTCTGCTGCTGCTGCCATCATAGTGCACAAACCGAGGAGCTTCTCCAGATCTCTGTTGAAACCAGCCAATAGTAGTTGGGTTGCTACTGATGGCACAGGAGAGTTTAATGGTCAATCCTGGAGATGCAGAATAGGAGACAGCCTGAGTCAAGGTGGGCTGTGAAGTGACACCTTTACAAAGAGGGGAAAAAAGGAGGAAATAATGAAGATTTCTTAAATTATCTGGGCCTCCAAAAATCCCAGAACCATCCTTTGGATGGACCATATAGGATTTTATATTGTGCAGACCAGAAAGGTTTTATTGGATATTTTATTTTGCAAGAGGTCCTCCACATACTTACATGAGAAATAAGTAAGAAGGGAAAGGAAAACCAGTGTCCAGGCCATGGTGCTTTCCTTCAAACAGCCTCCCTTCCTAAAACCAAAGAATATCTACCTGGGATCCTTCTACCTTCTTACTAAAGTCTTTCTAGAATGGAAGAAAAGTCCATGCAAATAAAGACACACTGATTGGCTTTCCTTGATTTTATGAGCCACCCCATTTTCAGACTGATCAAAATAGATTGGTCAATCACTGGAGAAGATATTTGCATAGAAGGAAGTCTTAAGAAGATGTCTTCATTTAGGTTTTCAGTCATAATGTAGGACCTGAGCAGGACAAATTCAATCAGATTCCATTGGACATCACTTTTGGTCTGAAACAAAAGGGCAGTGAATATTGTCTTTGTTGAAATTGTGTAACCGTACTTTGATTATACATAAAAAGCATCCCATTCCCTCCTTATATTTATTCCTCTAAACTACAACTCCAATGTTACAAACTGTTTATACAACCTAATTCTCTTTTCTTTCTTGAGATCTGCATGAAGTATTTTGCAGCTGGTGAAATTGATCAGTCTGTTGAACAGAGGAGAGTTTCAGTGATGACAGATGTTTGGATTAGTGCATTTCTAGGAGGGTAGCACCCTCTGCTGTTGAGTCCCATGACCATAAACGGGGGACCTGAATATTCTTCCATCCAAAATACGTTTCAGAGAATGGTGGCCCAGTCCCTAATTTGTTCAAGGTTCCCTTTTTCCCTCTCAGATCAAATCATGTTCTTTAATGTCCTTCACACCTGGTTGAGGTGAGTCACCTGGGTGTGCAGAGAAAATTATGCAATCATTTGTGGCAGAAAAGTAGAGGAGGAAAGCACATACTGTAACTTTCCTGTGGCTTTGTTCATGATCTATGATTGGGACTCTCTTGCCTTAGAATTGGAATAATGGAGTTCAGAGGCATTGCTCAGTGTGATTGATGTAATGCGAAGGAGACATCTTCTCAACAGAGAAGAGTGTTGAAATGTGGGTGGTGTTATGTGGAGGCCTTGAAGTCAGGCAGGTTTTTGATGTTCCTCTTTGATGTTCCTCACTGTGTTACCCAACATAACAGTAATAGTTCCCTTCATCCTTTCCCTGCACATTGTTGATGATTAAGAAAGCAGTTTTCTTATAGGTGTTTGTAGAAGCAGAGAAATGACCAGAAGCTTCAGGGTCAAATTTTGTCTCTCTGGAGGTTGTATTATAATTCAGTAGAAATCTGGGCCTTTCTCCTCCCTGTTGCTGGTACCATGAGAAGGTTCCAAAGTATTTCCCGCTGCTAATATTGCAGGAGAGTTTGGCTGCTTCTCCAGGAGATGCAGAAATATAAGGTTCTTGAGTCAACGTGAATTTAGACATTGCACCTGAAAGGAGAAAAAATCATTATTGAAAACCCTTCAAAGATGGGGAGCTGAAGCAAACGGGATTGCCCTGTGTGATAAAAATAGCCAAGTTGGGTGTTTGAGTTCACCTGGAGAGTAAGAGAAGAGAATGGCGCGCTTGTCATTCTCACTTTCTCTTTCCATCCGCCATCTCCATCCACCGCTATTTAGCCGCAATTTCCACGCCGGGGTAATTTTAGTAATTGTTTAGTAGTTGAAAATATTTAGAAATTTCTTTTTATTGTCTGTCGGTTAGCCGATCACTCACCCAACACCAACACTCTGTCCAAATCCTCGCTCCTGCACATCGCTTGCTCCAGAGGCTCCAGCTTCATGGCGATTCACTCCGATTGCCGCCCCCCATAACCAGCTCGGAGAGAGTTTCTCAGGCTATCCAAGGGACTTGCCTGTCCCTCTTTAGACACTGAGCTGCCTCTCTTTCTTCGCTGTCCCAACAGGACAGCTTCGGTTCAAAGACACCCCCCCCCCCATGATGGTTCATCTGGCTGGATTTTGCCGAGTTCGTCAGAGCCCGATATTTTTCCCAGCCAGTACCGCCGCGCTGCTTCCGGGTTCTCCAAATCAGGTCCAATCTTAAGGATCACCTAGAATTATGACTAAAATTCAGGGCTCCGTTATGGTCATAGGTTGAGGGTTATCTTGAGCCTTGGTGGCGCAGCAGATTAAAGCACTGTTAAGTAACACCAGCTGCCTGCAATTATTGCAAGTTCAAATCTCACCAGGCTCAAGGTTGACTCGGCCTTCCATCCTTTCGAGGTAGGTAAAATGAGGAGCCGGTTTGTGGGGGCAATAAGCTGACTTTGTATAGAAAAGAACACTGCTTGAGGGGGGGGCGAAAGCCCTACTAAGCAGGTATATACAAAAGTATGAAGGCTATTTGCTTAACGCATTGTAAGCCGCCCTGAGTCTCTGGAAAAGGGCAGCATTTAAATCGAACCAATAAATAAATAAATAAAATAAATGAATATCTGCATTAAATTAAATTTAATGAACATGCAACTAAAATCAAATTGAGTTTAGATTTTACATGGACCTCACCCATTTTAGGGATCAAAGACTCAAATGAAGACCTTGGCTTAAAAAAATAATAATAAGCACAGATTAAGCATTTGTTTACATATTTGGAAGAAGCCGCAAGCAGAAATGGATGTGCCTTAATAAACTTGCTTTGGGCACCAGGCAGCAGCTGGCGATCTGGGTAAGAGCATGGATTGGTGGTTCAACATTGGTGGTTCAACATTGGCAGATGGGTGACCTTTCTGTTCTGCTTCTTACCAGTATAATTTTTTTCCAGAACACTAGTTAGTAATTAACATGAGGTCTAACCACTTACACAGAGACAAGAAGGTATAATGTTTTTGTCTCAGTTCCCCATTAGATTGTCTCACTGTGGAACACTCCACCACTGCTATACCACATGTGACAGTAATAATCGGCCTCGTCTCCAGCCTGAAGGTTTGTGATGGTTAAGTAGCCGTTGTTGCCTGACCGGGTTCCCGTGAATCGGTCTGGGATCCCTTCTCCTCTGCTGCTGCAGCCATCACAGTGCACAAAGCGAGGGGCTTCCCCAGATCTCTGTTGAATCCAGCCAATGGTGTATGGATTGCTGCTGATGGCACAGGAGAGTTTAATTGTCCCTCCTGGAGATCCAGACTGGGAGGCAGGCTGAGTCAAGGTGGGCTGGGAAGTGACGCCTTTACAAGGTAAGATAAAAGAAATATTAATTTGTTATATTATCTGGGCCTCCAAAAAACCCAGTACCATCCTTTGGATGGACCATATAGGATTTTATAGTGTGGAAATTAGAGAGTTTTTATTACACAGTTTTAGAAGTGGTTCTCCACATACTTACATGAGAAATAAGTAAGAAGGGAAAGGAAAACCAGTGTCCAGGCCATGGTGCTTTCCTTCAAAAAGTCTCCCTTGCTAAAATCAGAGAATATCTACTTGGGATCCTTCTACATTCTTACTTAAGTCTTCCTAGAATGGAAGAAAGGTCCATGCAAATATAAGTACATTGATTGGCTTTCCTTGATTTTATGAGCCGCCCCATTTTCAGATTAATCCATCTGACCAAAGTAGATTGGTCAACGAATGGAGAAGACATTTGCATAGAGGGAAGTCTTAAGAAGATGACTTTATTCAGGTGTTCGGTCACAATGTAGGACCTGAGCAGGACAAATTCAATCAGATTGCCTTGGACATGACATTTAGTCCGAAACAAAAGGGCAGTGAATGGTGTCTTCGTTGAAATTGTGTAATTGTGCTTTGATTGTATTTAAAAGCATCCCATTCTCTCCTTAAATTTACTTCCTCTAAAGTACACCTCCAATGTCACAAACTGTTTATGCAACCCAATTCTCTTTTCTTTCTTGAGATCTGCATGAAATATTTTGCAGCTGGTGAAATTGATCAGTCTGTTGCACAGAGGAGAGTTTCAGGAGTGATGGCAGATGTTCTAGGAGGGTAGCACCCTCTGCTGCCGAGTCCTGTGACCATAAATGGGGGACCTGTATCTTCTTCCATCCAAAATATATTTCAGAGAATGGTGGCTCCAATCCCAAATTTGTTCAAACTTCCCTCTTTCTCTCTCAGAGCAAATCAGGTTCTTTCATGCCCTTCACACCTGGTTGAGGTGAGTCACTTGGATGTGCAGAGAAAATTATGCAATCAGTTGTGGCAGAAAAGTAGAGGAGGAAAGCACATAACTTTCTTATGGCTTTGGTGATGATCCATGACTGGGACTCTCTTGCCTTGGAATTGGAATAACGGAGTTCAGAGGCATTGCTCGGCGTGATTGATGTAATGCAAAGGAGACATCTTCTCAACGGAGAAGAGGGTTGAAATGTCGGTGGTGTTATGTGGAGGCCTTGAAGTCAGGCAGGTTTTTGATTAAGTTCCTCTTTGATGTTCCTCACTGTGTTACCCAATATAACAGTAATAGTCCCCTTCATCCTTTCCCTGCACATTGTTGATGGTTAAGAAAGCTGTTTTCTTGGGGGTGTTTGTAGAAGCAGAGAAATGACCAGAAGCCTCTGGGCCAAATTTTGTTTCTCTGTTGGTTGTATTATAATACAGGAGAAATCTGGGTCTTTCCCCTCCCTTTTGTTGGTACCATGAGAAGTAATTAAAGTAGAAGCCACTGCTGATGTTGCAGGAGAGAGTTGCTGGTTTCCCAAGAGATGCAGAGTGGGTAGGTTCCTGACTAATGCTGTACTTGACCGTGATACCTGGAGGAAGAATATCTACATTATGACACTTTCAAAGATGGGAAACTGAAGCAAACAGGATTGCACAGAAGAAGAAAACAGCCAAGGTGGGTGTTTGGTTTCACCTGGAGAGTAGAAGAAGAAAAGTAGCAGCAGAGTCCACACCATCATGGAGAAAATGAAGGGGAGAAAGCTCCAACTTCGTTGTGATCCAAAGTTTTGGTGGCCCTCTCTTCCTGATTCTCTCTTAAGCTCTGTACCAAAAGCTCATGCAAATATCCAGGTGCCTCATTGGCTGAAAGGAGTGAAGGAAACATGATTTAATGAAACGTCGGGGGACCAACCCTTCGATCAGCAAAAGCAAAAATCTGCAGGGATTCCAGGAGATTTCCTTTCTCTTCTCCACCTGGTTGGAAAGCTGGACGGAATTCAATCCAGAACTACCATTTTTCCCTACTGGAGTTCATTGGCCAACTAGGGAAGATTCTTTGTGAACTGTCTGGTTTGGTACAGCAACTAAACAGGACAGGTACAACGGATAGTTAAATTGCAGAAAGAACAATTTAACCAGTCTGACTTCCATAGAGGACATGCCTATTGCGCAGGTGAGAAGGAGGGCTGAGAAAATATCTGCAGACCCCTCACATCCTGGACATCAATTGTTTCAACTCCTCCCCCTCGGGATGGCGCTACAGGGCATTGTACTTAATATGGCACAACTGAAGCTTAATTATGGGAGAAGGAAAGGAAAGGAAGGGGAGGGAAGGGAAGGGGAGGGGAGGGGAGAGGAGGGGAGGGGAGGGGAGGGGAGGAGAGGAGAGGAGAGGAGGAAGAGAGAAGAAAAGAAAAGGAGGAGAGGAAGAAAAGGGAAGGGAAGGGAAGGGAAGGGAAGGGAAGGGAAGGGAAGGAAAGGAAAGGAAAGGAAAGGAAAGGAAAGGAAAGGAAAGGAAAGGAAAGGAAAGGAAAGCAACTTTCCTGAAATCTGCAATGATAACAATTAATCTTTTTGATTAAAGAATTCATTTCTCCAATTTCTTATTTATTTTTTGCTCATAGGCTAAGCATAATTATGCAACTGAAATATGTTAAGGTAAAGAATGAAATCAACGCCTTACTAAAAAAAATTGAGAAATATAAAGTATGTAGGAATATATTACTCTATGTTTACAGCTATTGTTTTAATGCTGGGACAAAACAATGTGGGCTGTTTTGTCTTGTCTTCCTGCAAATCAAACTGATTATTGTTCTGCAAAATGGATGCTTTGCTTGATAATTTCCTGGAAGAAATGGCCTGTAAGGCACTTCCATTAGGCCAAAGAAAGACCAACGCAACCTTTGAGCAACTCCATGTTCTGCAAAGGAAGAAGATTTTTTGTCTCAGTTCCCCATTAGATTGTCTCACTGTGGAACGTATTGCTATACCCCATGTAACAGTGATAATCAGCCTCATCCTCAGCCTGAAGGTTGGTGATGGTTAAGTAGCCATTGTTGCCTGATCGGGTTGCTGTGAATCGGTCTGGGATCCCTTCTCCTCTGCTGCCGCCATCATATTGCACAAAGCGAGGGGCTTCCCCAGATCTCTGCTGAAGCCAGTAAATGGTGTTTGGATTGCTGCTGATGGCACAGGAGATTTTAGTTGTCCCACCTGGAGATCCAGATTGGGAGGCAGGCTGAGTCAAGGTGGGCTGTGAAGTGACGCCTTTAGAAAGCGAGGAAAAAAGGAGGAAATAATGAAGATTTGTTTTATTATGGCTCCAGAACCACCATTTGGATGGATCAGATTGGATTTTACAGTTTAAGAAGTGGTCCTCCACATACAGTACTTACATGAGAAATAACTGAGAAGGGAAAGGAAAACCAGTGTCCAGGCCATGCTTCCCTTCAAAAAGTCTCCCTTTCCAAAACCAAAGAATATCTACCTGGGATCCTTCTACCTTCCTACTTAAGTGCTCCTAGAGCTGAAGAAAAGTCCATGCAAATATAGATCAACTGATTGGCTTTCCTTGATTTTATGAACCTCCCTCTTCAAAGACTAACCAATCTGGTCAAAGTAGATTGGTCAATTAGTGGAGAAGACATTTGCATAGAGGAAAGTCTTAAGAAGATGCCTTTATTAAGGTTTTTGATCATGCAACTAGGGAAGATTCTTTGTGAACTCTCTGGTTTGTTACAGCAATTAAACAGGACAGATACAACAGATCTGCAGACCCTGGATATCAACTGTTTCAACTCCTCCCCTCAAGATGGTGCTACAGGGTATTACATGCCAAAACAACTAGATTCAGGGACAGTTCTTCCCCTTGTACCATCACTCTGCTGAACACCTAATCCTAATGAGGATCTGGATTGTGGGGGCAATAAGCTGATTTTGTATAAAAAAAAGAACACCGCTTAGGGCCCCCCGAAAGCCCTACTAAGCAGGTATATACAAAAGTATGAAGGCTATTGCTTAACGCATTGTAAGCCACCCTGAGTCTCCGAAGAAGGGCGGCATATAAATCGAACCAATAAATAAATAAATAAATAAATAAATAAATAAATAAATAAATAAATAAATAAATAATCCCCACAGTATTGTTCTATGTGTATAGTGCTTTAAATGGCACAACTGAAGCTTAATTATGGGAGAAGGAAGGGAAGGGAAGGGAAGGGAAGGGAAGGGAAGGGAAGGGAAGGGAAGGGAAGGGAAGGGAAAGGACTTTCCTGAAATCTGCAATGATGAAAATTAATCTTCTTGATTAAAGAATTCATTTGTCCAATTTCTTATTTATTTTTTGCTCATAGACTAAGCATAATGGTTGAACTGAAAAATGTCAAGGTAGAGAATGAAATCAATTGAGAGATATAAAGTATGTAGGAATATATTACTCTATGTTTACAGCTATTGTTTTAATGCTGGGACAAAACAATGTGGGCTGTTTTGTCTTGTCTTCCTGCAAATCAAATTGATTATTATTCTGCAAAATGGATGCTTTGCTTGATAATTTCCTGGAAGAAATGGCCTGTAAGGCACTTTCATTAGGCCAAAGAAAGACCAACGCAACCTTTGAGCAACTCCATGTTCTGTGAAGGAAGAAGGTTTTTGTCTCAGTTCCCATTAGATTGTCTCACTGTGGAACGTATTGCTATACCACATGTAACAGTGATAATCAGCCTCATCCTCAGCCTGAAGGTTGGTGATGGTTAAGTAGCCATTGTTGCCTGATCGGGTTGCCGTGAATCGGTCTGGGATCCCTTCTCCTCTGCTGCCACCATCATATTGCACAAAGCGAGGGGCTTCCCCAGATCTCTGCTGAAGCCAGTAAATGGTGCTTGGATTGCTACTGATGGCACAGGAGATTTTAGTTGTCCCTCCTGGAGATCCAGACTGGGAGGCAGGCTGAGTCAAGGTGGGCTGTGAAGTGACGCCTTTAGAAAGTGAGGAAAAAAGGAGGAAATAATGAAGATTTGTTATATTATGGCTCCAGAACCACCATTTGGATGGATCAGATTGGATTTTATATTGCACAAACTAGAGAGTGTTTACTGGGCAGGTTAAGAAGTGGTCCTCCACATACAGTACTTACATGAGAAATAACTGAGGAGTGAAAAGAAAACCAGTGTCCAGGCCATGGTGCTTTCCTTCAAAAAAGTCTCCCTTTCCAAAACCAAAGAATATCTACCTGGGATCCTTCTACCTTCTTATTTAAGTCCTCCTAGAACTGAAGGAAGGTCCATGCAAATATAGATCAACTGATTGGCTTTCCTTGATTTTATGAACCTCCCTCTTCAAAGACTAACCAATCTGGTCAAAGTAGATTGGTCAATTAGTGGAGAAGACATTTGCATAGAGGAAACTCTTAAGAAGATGCCTTTATGAAGGTTTTTGATCATAATGTGGGACCTCAATGGGACAAATTCAGTCTGTTTTGCCTGGGTTGGACAGTACATTTGTCCTGCAACACAAGGGCAACAAAAGATGTTTTTGTTGAGACTGCTTTACTGTAATTGTGTTTGGTTGTAAAGTGTCCCATTCTCTCCTTATATTTACTTCCTCTAAACTACAACTCCAATGTCAGAAACACTTTAGGCAACCGGATTCTCTTTCCTTTCTTGAGTTCTGCATGAAGTCTTTTGCAGCTGGTGTAATTTTTTCTGTCTGTTGCACAGAGGAGAGTTTCAGGAGTGGTGGCAGAAGGTTTCTAGGAAGGTGGCACCCCCTGCTGTCCTATTCTGTCACCATACCTGGGGGGCACCTTCTCCCATTCAAAATATATTTCAGAGAACGTCGTCCCTAGCTCCAAATTTGTTGAAAGTTCCCTCTTTCCCTCTCAGAACAAATCCGGTCCTTTAATGTCCTTCATTCTTGGTTGAGGTGGGTCACCTGGTGGTCCAGAGAAAATCATGCAGGTATGAGAGGTAGAAATATAGGGGAAGAAACTCAATGACCTTTCTGTGGCTTCAGTGATGTTCCATGAATGGAACTCTCTTGTCTTTTACCTAGAACTGGAACATCAAACTTCAAAGTCATTCTTAAGTTGATCCAATGCTAAGGAGATGTTGGTAACACAGTAGAGTATCAAAGTTTGGGTTGTGATGCATGAAGAACTTCCTCAAAGGAGGTTTATGTTCAGCCTCCTCTCTGAGGTTCTTCACTGTGTCTGTTATCACCACAGTAATAGTCTCCTTCATCCTTTGCCTGCACGTTATTGATGGTCAAGAAAGCAATTTTCTTGGGGGTGTTTGTAGAAGCAGAGAAATGACCAGAAGCCTCTGGGCCAAATTTTGTCTCTCTGGAGGTTGTATTATAATACAGGAGAAATCTGGGTCTTTCCCCTCCCTTTTGTTGGTACCACGCAAAGTAATTAAAGTAGAAGCCACTGCTGATGTTGCAGGAGAGAGTTGCTGGTTTCCCAAGAGATGCAGAGAGGGTAGGTTCCTGACTAATGCTGTACTTGACTGTGATACCTGGAGGAAGAATATCAACATTATGACACTATCAAAGATGGGAAACTGAAGCAAACAGGATTGCACAGAAGAAGAAAACAGCCAAGGTGGGTATTTGGTCTCACCTGGAGAATAAAAGAAGAAAAGTAGCAGCAGAGTCCACAGCATGGTGGAAAAAATGAAGGGGTGGAAGGTCCAACTTCGTTGTGATCCAAAGCTTTGGTGGGCCTCACTTCCTGATTCTCTCTTAAGCTCTGTACCAAAAGCTCATGCAAATATCCAGGTGCCTCATTGGCTGAAAGGAGTGAAGGAAACATGATTTAATGAAACGTCGGGGGACCAACCCTTCGATCAGCAAAAGCAAAAATCTGCAGGGATTCCAGGAGATTTCCTTTCTCTTCCCCACCTGGTTGGAAAGCTGGACGGAATTCAATCCAGAACTACCATTTTTGCCTCTGGAGTTCATTGGCCAACTAGAGAAGATTCTTTGTGAACTATCTGGTTTGGTACAGCAGCTAAACAGGACAGGTACAACGGATAGTTAAATGGCAGAAAAAACAATTTAACCACCCTGCCTTCGATAGAGGACATGCCTATTGTGCAGGTGAGAAGGAGGGCTGAGAAAATATCTGCAGACCCCTCACATCCTGGACATCAACTGTTTCAACTCCTCCCCTCGGGATGGCGCTACAGGGCATTGCATGCCAAAACAACTAGACTCAGGGACAGTTTTTCCCCTTGTGCCATCACTCTGGTGAACACCTAATCCCCACAGTATTGTTTTATGTGTATAATGCTTTAAATGGCACAACTGAAACTTAATTATGGGAGAAGGAAAGGAAGGGAAGGGAACGGGAGGGGAGGAGAGGAGAGGAGAGGAGAGGAGAGGAGGAAAAGAGAAGAAAACAAAAGGAGGAGAGGAAGGAAAGGGAAGGGAAGGGAAGGGAAGGGAAGGGAAGGGAAGGGAAGGAAAGGAAAGGAAAGGAAAGGAAAGGAAAGGAAAGGAAAGGAAAGGAAAGGAAAGGAACTTTCCTGAAACCTGTAATGATGAAAATTAACCTTCTTGATTAAAGAATTGATTTGTCCAATTTTTTATTTATTTTTTGCTCATAGGCTGAGGATAATTGTGCAACTGAAATATGTCAAGGTAGAGAATGAAATCAACAGCTTATTTAAAAAAAAGTGAGAGGTATAAAGTATGTAACAATATATTATTCTATGTTTGCAGGTATTGTTTTAATGCTGGGACAAAAAAAAAATGGGATGTTTTGTTTGGTCTTCCTGCAAATCAAACTGATTATTGTTCTGCAAAATGGTTTGTCTTGCTTGTATGGCCTGTATGGTACTTCCATTAAGCCAAAGAAAGACCAATGCAACCTTTGAGCAACTCGCTGCTCTGCGGAGGAAGAAGGTTTTTTGTCTCAGTTCCCCATTAGATTGTCTCACTGTGGAACATGTTACCACTGCTATACCACATGTAACAGTGATAATCAGCCTCGTCTTCAGCCTGAAGGTTGGTGATGGTTAAGTAGCCGTTGTTGCCTGATCGGGTTGCCGTGAATCGGTCTGGGATCCCTTCTCCTCTGCTGCCGCCATCATATTGCACAAAGCGAGGGGCTTCCCCAGATCTCTGCTGAAGCCAGCCAATGTTGTTTGGGTTGCTACTGATGGCACAGGAGATTTTAGTTGTCCCTCCTGGAGATCCAGACTGGGAGGCAGGCTGAGTCAAGGTGGGCTGTGAAGTGACGCCTTTAGAAAGTGAGGAAAAAAGGAGGAAATAATGAAGATTTGTTTTATTATGGCTCCAGAACCACCATTTGGATGGATCAGATTGGATTTTACAGTTTAAGAAGTGGTCCTCCATATACAGTACTTACATGAGAAATAACTGAGAAGGGAAAGGAAAACCAGTGTCCAGGCCATGCTTCCCTTCAAAAAGTCTCCCTTTCCAAAACCAAAGAATATCTACCTGGGATCCTTCTACCTTCCTACTTAAATGCTCCTAGAGCTGAAGAAAAGTCCATGCAAATATAGATCAACTGATTGGCTTTCCTTGATTTTATGAACCTCCCTCTTCAAAGACTAACCAATCCGGTCAAAGTAGATTGGTCAATTAGTGGAGAAGACATTTGCATAGAAGAAACTCTTAAGAAGATGCCTTTATGAAGGTTTTTGATCATAATGTGGGACCTCAATGGGACAAATTCAGTCTGTTTTGCCTGGGTTGGACAGTACATTTGTCCTGCAACACAAGGGCAAAAAAAGATGTTTTTGTTGAAACTGTTCTACTGTAATTGTGTTTGGTTGTAAAGTGTCCCATTCTCTCTTTATATTTACTTCCTCTAAACTACAACTCCAATGTCAGAAACACTTTATACAATCTAATTCTCTTTCCTTTCTTGAGTTCTGCATGAAGTCTTTTGCAGCTGGTGTAATTTTTTCAGTCTGTTGCACAGAGGAGAGTTTCAGGAGTGGTGGCAGAAGGTTTCTAGGAAGGTAGCACCCCCTGCTGTCCTATTCTGTCACCATACCTGGGGGGCACCTTCTCCCATTCAAAATATATTTCAGAGGAAGTTGCTCCCAGCCCCAAATTTGTTGAAAGTTCCCTCTTTCCCTCTCAGAACAAATCCGGTTCTTTAATGTCCTTCATTCTTGGTTGAGGTGGGTCACCTGGAGGTCCAGAGAAAATCATGCAGGTATGAGAGGTAGAAATATAGGGGAAGAAATTCAATGACCTTTCTGTGGCTTCAGTGATGTTCCATGAATGGAACTCTCTTGTCTTTTACCTAGAACTGGAACATCAAACTTCAAAGTCATTCTTAAGTTGATCCAATGCTAAGGAGATGTTGGTAACACAGTAGAGTATCAAAGTTTGGGTTGTGATGCATGAAGAACTTCCTCAAAGGAGGTTTATGTTCAGCCTCCTCTCTGAGGTTCTTCACTGTGTCTGTTATCACCACAGTAATAGTCCCCTTCATCCTTTGCCTGCACGTTATTGATGGTCAAGAAAGCAATTTCCTTGGGGGTGTTTGTAGAAGCAGAGAAATGACCAGAAGCCTCTGGGCCAAATGTTGTCTCTCTGGAGGTTGTATTATAATACAGGAGAAATCTGGGTCTTTCCTCTTCCTTTTGTTGGTACCATGAGAAGTAATTAAAGTAGAAGCCACTGCTGATGTTGCAGGAGAGAGTTGCTGGTTTCCCAAGAGATGCAGAGAGGGTAGGTTCCTGACTAATGCTGTACTTGACCGTGATACCTGGAGGAAGAATATCTACATTATGACACTATCAAAGATGAGAAACTGAAGCAAACAGGATTGCACAGAGGAAGAAAACAGCCAAGGTGGGTATTTGGTTTCACCTGGAGAGTAAAAGAAGAAAAGTAGCAGCAGAGTCCACAGCATGGTGGAAAAAATGAAGGGGTGGAAGGTCCAACTTCGTTGTGATCCAAAGCTTTGGTGGGCCTCACTTCCTGATTCTCTCTTAAGCTCTGTACCAAAAGCTCATGCAAATATCCAGGTGCCTCATTGGCTGAAAGGAGTGAAGGAAACATGATTTAATGAAACGTCGGGGGAACAACCCTTCGATCAGCAAAAGCAAAAAACTGCAGGGATTCCAGGAGATTTCCTTTCTCTTCCCCACCTGGTTGGAAAGCTGGACGGAATAGAATCCAGAACTCTATTTTTCCTTACTGGAGTTGATTGGCCAATGGGAGAAGATTCTTTGTGAACTGTCTGGTTTGGTACAGCAACTAAACAGGACAGGTACAAGGATAGTTATATTGCAGAAAAAACAATTTAACCAGCCTGCCTTCCATAGAGGACATGCCTATTGTGCAGGTGAGAATTAGGGCTGAGAAAATATCTGCAGACCCCTCACATCCTGGACATCAATTGTTTCAACTCCTCCCCTCGGGATGGCGCTACAGGGCATTGCATGCCAAAACAACTAGACTCAGGGACAGTTTTTCCCCTTGTGCCATCACTCTGGTGAACGCCTAATCCCCACAGTATTGTTCTATGTGTATAGCGCTTAAAATGGCACAACTGAAACTTAATTATGGGAGAAGGAAAGGAAGGGAAGGGAACGGGAGGAGAGGAGAGGAGAGGAGAGGAGAGGAGGAAAAGAGAAGAAAATAAAAGGAGGGGAGGAAGGAAAGGGAAGGGAAGAGAAGGGAAGGGAAGGGAAGGGAAGGGAAGGAAAGGAAAGGAAAGGAAAGGAAAGGAAAGGAAAGGAAAGGAAAGGAAAGGAAAGGAAAGGAAAGGAAAGGAAAGGAACTTTCCTGGAACCTGCAATGATGAAAGTTAATCTTCTTGATTAAAGAATTGGTTTGTCTAATTTTTTATTTATTTTTTCCTCATAGGCTAAGCATAATTGTGCAACTGAAATATGTTAAGGTAGAGAATGAAATCAACGGCTTACTAAAAAAACAGTGAGAGGTATAAAGTATGTAGGCATATATTACTCTATGTTTACAGCTATTGTTTTAATGCTGGGACAAAACAATGTGGGCTGTTTTGTCATGTCTTCCTGCAAATCAAACTGATTATTGTTCTGCAAAATGGATGCTTTGCTTGATAATTTCCTGGAAGAAATGGCCTGTAAGGCACTTCCATTAGGCCAAAGAAAGACCAACGCAACCTTTGAGCAACTCGCTGCTCTGCGAAGGAAGAAGATTTTTTGTCTCAGTTCCCCATTAGATTGTCTCACTGTGGAACGAATTGCTATACCACATGTAACAGTGATAATCAGCCTCATCCTCAGCCTGAAGGTTGGTGATGGTTAAGTAGCCGTTGTTGCCTGATCGGGTTGCCATGAATCGGTCTGGGATCCCTTCTCCTCTGCTGCCGCCATCATATTGCACAAAGCGAGGGGCTTCCCCAGATCTCTGCTGAAGCCAGTGAATGGTGCTTGGATTGCTACTGATGGCACAGGAGATTTTAGTTGTCCCTCCTGGAGATCCAGACTGGGAGGCAGGCTGAGTCAAGGTGGGCTGTGAAGTGACGCCTTTAGAAAGTGAGGAAAAAAGGAGGAAAGAATGAAGATTTGTTTTATTATGGCTCCAGAACCACCATTTGGATGGATCAGATTGGATTTTATATTGCGTAAAGTAGAGCAAGTGTACTGGGCAGGTTAAGAAGTGGTCCTCCACATACTTACATGAGAAATAACTGAGAAGGGAAAGGAAAACCAGTGTCCAGGCCATGGTGCTTTCCTTCAAAAAAGTCTCCCTTTCCAAAACCAGAAAATATCTACCTGGGATCCTTCTACTTTCCTACTTAAGTCCTCCTAGAACTGATGGAAGGTCCATGCAAATATAGATCAACTGATTGGCTTTCCTTGATTTTATGAACCTCCCTCTTCAAAGACTAACCAATCTGGTCAAAGTAGATTGGTCAATTAGTGGAGAAGACATTTGCATAGAGGAAAGTCTTAAGAAGATGCCTTTATTAAGGTTTTTGATCATGCAACTAGGGAAGATTCTTTGTGAACTCTCTGGTTTGTTACAGCAATTAAACAGGACAGATACAACAGATCTGCAGACCCTGGATATCAACTGTTTCAACTCCTCCCCTCAAGATGGTGCTACAGGGTATTACATGCCAAAACAACTAGATTCAGGGACAGTTCTTCCCCTTGTACCATCACTCTGCTGAACACCTAATCCTAATGAGGATCTGGATTGTGGGGGCAATAAGCTGATTTTGTATAAAAAAAAGAACACCGCTTAGGGCCCCCCGAAAGCCCTACTAAGCAGGTATATACAAAAGTATGAAGGCTATTGCTTAACGCATTGTAAGCCACCCTGAGTCTCCGAAGAAGGGCGGCATATAAATCGAACCAATAAATAAATAAATAAATAAATAAATAAATAAATAAATAAATAAATAAATAAATAAATAAATAAATAAATAATCCCCACAGTATTGTTCTATGTGTATAGTGCTTTAAATGGCACAACTGAAGCTTAATTATGGGAGAAGGAAGGGAAGGGAAGGGAAGGGAAGGGAAGGGAAGGGAAGGGAAGGGAAGGGAAGGGAAGGGAAGGGAAGGGAAGGGAAGAGAAGGGAAAGGACTTTCCTGAAATCTGCAATGATGAAAATTAATCTTCTTGATTAAAGAATTCATTTGTCCAATTTCTTATTTATTTTTTGCTCATAGACTAAGCATAATGGTTGAACTGAAAAATGTCAAGGTAGAGAATGAAATCAATTGAGAGATATAAAGTATGTAGGAATATATTACTCTATGTTTACAGCTATTGTTTTAATGCTGGGACAAAACAATGTGGGCTGTTTTGTCTTGTCTTCCTGCAAATCAAATTGATTATTTTTCTGCAAAATGGATGCTTTGCTTGATAATTTCCTGGAAGAAATGGCCTGTAAGGCACTTTCATTAGGCCAAAGAAAGACCAACGCAACCTTTGAGCAACTCCATGTTCTGTGAAGGAAGAAGGTTTTTGTCTCAGTTCCCCATTAGATTGTCTCACTGTGGAACGTATTGCTATACCACATGTAACAGTGATAATCAGCCTCATCCTCAGCCTGAAGGTTGGTGATGGTTAAGTAGCCATTGTTGCCTGATCGGGTTGCCGTGAATCGGTCTGGGATCCCTTCTCCTCTGCTGCCACCATCATATTGCACAAAGCGAGGGGCTTCCCCAGATCTCTGCTGAAGCCAGTAAATGGTGCTTGGATTGCTACTGATGGCACAGGAGATTTTAGTTGTCCCTCCTGGAGATCCAGACTGGGAGGCAGGCTGAGTCAAGGTGGGCTGTGAAGTGACGCCTTTAGAAAGTGAGGAAAAAAGGAGGAAATAATGAAGATTTGTTATATTATGGCTCCAGAACCACCATTTGGATGGATCAGATTGGATTTTATATTGCACAAACTAGAGAGTGTTTACTGGGCAGGTTAAGAAGTGGTCCTCCACATACAGTACTTACATGAGAAATAACTGAGGAGTGAAAAGAAAACCAGTGTCCAGGCCATGGTGCTTTCCTTCAAAAAAGTCTCCCTTTCCAAAACCAAAGAATATCTACCTGGGATCCTTCTACCTTCTTATTTAAGTCCTCCTAGAACTGAAGGAAGGTCCATGCAAATATAGATCAACTGATTGGCTTTCCTTGATTTTATGAACCTCCCTCTTCAAAGTCTAACCAATCCGGTCAAAGTAGATTGGTCAATTAGTGGAGAAGACATTTGCATAGAGGAAACTCTTAAGAAGATGCCTTTATGAAGGTTTTTGATCATAATGTGGGACCTCAATGGGACAAATTCAGTCGGTTTTGCCTGGGTTGGACAGTACATTTGTCCTGCAACACAAGGGCAAAAAAAGATGTTTTTGTTGAAACTGTTTTACTGTAATTGTGTTTGGTTGTAAAGTGTCTCATTCTCTCCTTATATTTACTTCCTCTAAACTACAACTCCAATGTCAGAAACACTTTAGGCAACCTGATTCTCTTTCCTTTCTTGAGTTCTGCATGAAGTCTTTTGCAGCTGGTGTAATTTTTTCAGTCTGTTGCACAGAGGAGAGTTTCAGGAGTGGTGGCAGAAGGTTTCTAGGAAGGTGGCACCCCCTGCTGTCCTATCCTGTCACCATACCTGGGGGGCACCTTCTCCCATTCAAAATATATTTCAGAGAACGTCGTCCCTAGCTCCAAATTTGTTGAAAGTTCCCTGTTTCCCTCTCAGAACAAATCCGGTCCTTTAATGTCCTTCATTCTTGGTTGAGGTGGGTCACCTGGTGGTCCAGAGAAAATCATGCAGGTATGAGAGGTAGAAATATAGGGGAAGAAACTCAATGACCTTTCTGTGGCTTCAGTGATGTTCCATGAATGGAACTCTCTTGTCTTTTACCTAGAACTGGAACATCAAACTTCAAAGTCATTCTTAAGTTGATCCAATGCTAAGGAGATGTTGGTAACACAGTAGAGTATCAAAGTTTGGGTTGTGATGCATGAAGAACTTCCTCAAAGGAGGTTTATGTTCAGCCTCCTCTCTGAGGTTCTTCACTGTGTCTGTTATCACCACAGTAATAGTCTCCTTCATCCTTTGCCTGCACGTTATTGATGCTCAAGAAAGCAATTTCCTTGGGGGTGTTTGTAGAAGCAGAGAAATGACCAGAAGCCTCTGGGCCAAATTTTGTCTCTCTGGAGGTTGTATTATAATACAGGAGAAATCTGGGTCTTTCCTCTTCCTTTTGTTGGTACCATGAGAAGTAATTAAAGTAGAAGCCACTGCTGATGTTGCAGGAGAGAGTTGCTGGTTTCCCAAGAGATGCAGAGAGGGTAGGTTCCTGACTAATGCTGTACTTGACCGTGATACCTGGAGGAAGAATATCTACATTATGACACTTTCAAAGATGGGAAACTGAAGCAAACAGGATTGCACAGAAGAAGAAAACAGCCAAGGTGGGTATTTGGTTTCACCTGGAGAGTAAAAGAAGAAAAGTAGCAGCAGAGTCCACAGCATGGTGGAAAAAATGAAGGGGTGGAAGGTCCAACTTCGTTGTGATCCAAAGCTTTGGTGGGCCTCACTTCCTGATTCTCTCTTAAGCTCTGTACCAAAAGCTCATGCAAATCTCCAGGTGCCTCATTGGCTGAAAGGAGTGAAGGAAACATGATTTAATGAAACGTCGGGGGAACAACCCTTCGATCAGCAAAAGCAAAAAACTGCAGGGATTCCAGGAGATTTCCTTTCTCTTCCCCACCTGGTTGGAAAGCTGGACGGAATAGAATCCAGAACTCTATTTTTCCTTACTGGAGTTGATTGGCCAATGGGAGAAGATTCTTTGTGAACTGTCTGATTTGGTACAGCAACTAAACAGGACAGGTACAAGGATAGTTATATTGCAGAAAAAACAATTTAACCAGCCTGCCTTCCATAGAGGACATGCCTATTGTGCAGGTGAGAATTAGGGCTGAGAAAATATCTGCAGACCCCTCAGATCCTGGACATCAACTGTTTCAACTCTTACCCTCGGGATGGCACTATAGGGTATTACATGCCAAAACAACTAGACTCAGGGACAGTTTTCCCCTTGTGCCATCACTCTGGTGAACACTTAATCCCGACAGTATTGTTCTACGTGTATAGCGCTTAAAATGGCACAACTGAACCTTAATTATGGGAGAATGAAAGAAGTGTAGGGAATGGAAGGGAAGGGAAGAAGAAGGGAGTGGAGAGGAGAGGAGAGAGGGAAGAGAGAAGAAAAGAAGAGAAAGGAGGGGAGGAAAGGAAAGGAAAGGAAAGGAAAGGAAAGGAAAAAAGGAAAGGAAAGGAAAGGAAAGGAAAGGAAAAAAGGAAAGGAAAGGAAAGGAAAGGAAAGGAAAGGAAAGGAAAGGAAAGGAAAGGAAAGGAAAGGAAAGGAAAGGAAAGGAAAGGAAAGAAGGAAAGGAAAGGAACTTTCCTGAAACCTGTAATGATGAAAATTAACCTTCTTGATTAAAGAATTGATTTGTCCAATTTTTTATTTATTTTTTGCTCATAGGCTGAGGATAATTGTGCAACTGAAATATGTCAAGGTAGAGAATGAAATCAACAGCTTATTTAAAAAAAAGTGAGAGGTATAAAGTATGTAACAATATATTATTCTATGTTTGCAGGTATTGTTTTAATGCTGGGACAAAAAAAAATGGGATGTTTTGTTTGGTCTTCCTGCAAATCAAACTGATTATTGTTCTGCAAAATGGTTTGTCTTGCTTGTATGGCCTGTATGGTACTTCCATTAGGCCAAAGAAAGACCAATGCAACCTTTGAGCAACTCGCTGCTCTGCGGAGGAAGAAGGTTTTTTGTCTCAGTTCCCCATTAGATTGTCTCACTGTGGAACATGTTACCACTGCTATACCACATGTAACAGTGATAATCAGCCTCGTCTTCAGCCTGAAGGTTGGTGATGGTTAAGTAGCCGTTGTTGCCTGATCGGGTTGCCGTGAATCGGTCTGGGATCCCTTCTCCTCTGCTGCCGCCATCATATTGCACAAAGCGAGGGGCTTCCCCAGATCTCTGCTGAAGCCAGCCAATGTTGTTTGGGTTGCTACTGATGGCACAGGAGATTTTAGTTGTCCCTCCTGGAGATCCAGACTGGGAGGCAGGCTGAGTCAAGGTGGGCTGTGAAGTGACGCCTTTAGAAAGCGAGGAAAAAAGGAGGAAATAATGAAGATTTGTTTTATTATGGCTCCAGAACCACCATTTGGATGGATCAGATTGGATTTTACAGTTTAAGATTGCACAGAAGAAGAAAACAGCGAAGGTGGGTATTTGGTTTCACCTGGAGAGTAAAAGAAGAAAAGTAGCAGCAGAGTCCACAGCATGGTGGAAAAAATGAAGGGGTGGAAGGTCCAACTTCGTTGTGATCCAAAGCTTTGGTGGGCCTCACTTCCTGATTCTCTCTTAAGCTCTGTACCAAAAGCTCATGCAAATCTCCAGGTGCCTCATTGGCTGAAAGGAGTGAAGGAAACATGATTTAATGAAACGTCGGGGGAACAACCCTTCGATCAGCAAAAGCAAAAATCTGCAGGGATTCCAGGAGATTTCCTTTCTCTTCCCCACCTGGTTGGAAAGCTGGATGGAATTCAATCCAGAACTACCATTTTTGCCTCTGGAGTTCATTGGCCAACTAGAGAAGATTCTTTGTGAACTATCTGGTTTGGTACAGCAACTAAACAGGACAGGTACAACGGATAGTTAAATGGCAGAAAAAACAATTTAACCACCCTGCCTTCGATAGAGGACATGTCTATTGTGCAGGTGAGAAGGAGGGCTGAGAAAATATCTGCAGACCCCTCACATCCTGGACATCAACTGTTTCAACTCTTCCCCTCGGGATGGCGCTACAGGGCATTGCATGCCAAAACAACTAGACTCAGGGACAGTTTTTCCCCTTGTGCCATCACTCTGGTGAACACCTAATCCCCACAGTATTGTTCTATGTGTATAGCGCTTAAAATGGCACAACTGAAACTTAATTATGGGAGAAGGAAAGGAAGGGAAGGGAACGGGAGGGGAGGAGAGGAGAGGAGAGGAGAGGAGAGGAGGAAAAGAGAAGAAAACAAAAGGAGGGGAGGAAGGAAAGGGAAGGGAAGAGAAGGGAAGGGAAGGGAAGGGAAGGGAAGGGAAGGGAAGGGAAGGGAAGGGGAAAGGAAAGGAAAGGAAAGGAAAGGAAAGGAAAGGAAAAGAAAGGAAAGGAAAGGAAAGGAAAGGAAAGGAACTTTCCTGGAACCTGCAATGATGAAAGTTAATCTTCTTGATTAAAGAATTGGTTTGTCTAATTTTTTATTTATTTTTTCCTCATAGGCTAAGCATAATTGTGCAACTGAAATATGTTAAGGTAGAGAATGAAATCAACGGCTTACTAAAAAAACAGTGAGAGGTATAAAGTATGTAGGCATATATTACTCTATGTTTACAGCTATTGTTTTAATGCTGGGACAAAACAATGTGGGCTGTTTTGTCTTGTCTTCCTGCAAATCAAACTGATTATTGTTCTGCAAAATGGATGCTTTGCTTGATAATTTCCTGGAAGAAATGGCCTGTAAGGCACTTCCATTAGGCCAAAGAAAGACCAAAGGAAGAAGGTTTTTTGTCTCAGTTCCCCATTAGATTGTCTCACTGTGGAACACGTTACCACTGCTATACCACATGCAACAGTAATAATCGGCCTAGTCTTCAGCCTGAAGGTTGGTGATAGTTAAGTAGCCATTATTGCCCGATCGGATTGCCGTGAATCGGTCTGGGATCCCTTCTCCTCTGCTGCTGCAGCCATCACAGTGCACAAAGCGAGGGGCTTCCCCAGATCTCTGCTGAAGCCAGCGAACGTTGTTGGGATTGCTGCTGATGACACAGGAGATTTTAATTGTCTCTCCTGGAGATCCAGACTGGGAGACAGACTGAGTCAAGGTGGGCTGTGAAGTGGCACCTTTACAAAGAGGGGAAAAAAGAAGGAAATAATGAAGATTAGTTATATTATCTGGACCTCCAAAAATCCCAGAACCATCCTTTGGATGGACCATATAGGATTTTGTATTGTGCAGAGCACAGAGTTTTTATTGGACAGTTTAAGAAGAGTTTCTCCACATACTTACATGAGAAGTAACTAAGAAGGGAAAAGAAAACCAGTGTCCAGGCCATGGTGCTTCCCTTCAAACAGTCTCCCTTTCCAAACTCCCTTTCTACCTTCTTACTTAAATCCTTTTAGAATTGAAGAAAGATCCATGCAGATATAGATGATCTGATTGGTTTTCCTTGAATTGATGAACCACCCCCTTATTAGACTAACCTGTCTTTTTGACCAAGGAGAGAAGACGACATTTGCATAAATTCGTCAAGAATCATTAAGTATTGTACCTTATGATTCTTGATGAATGTATCTATTTTTTTATGTACACTGAGAGCATATGCACCAAAGAGAAATTCCTTGTGTGTCCAATTGCACTTGGCCAATAAAGAATTCTATTCTATTCTATTCTATTCTATTCTATTCTATTCTATTCTATTCTATTCTATTCTATTCTATTCTATTCTATTCTATTCTATTCCATTCCATTCCAATATTTATTCTATTCTATTCTATTCTATTCTATTCTATTCTATTCTATTCTATTCTATTCCATTCCATTCCACTCCACTCCACTCCACTCCACTCCACTCCACTCCACTCCACTCCACTCCACTCCACTCCACTCCATTCCATTCCATTCCATTCCATTCCATTCCACACCACTCCTTTCCTTTCCTTTCCTTTCCTTTCCTTTCCTTTCCTTTCCTTTCCTTTCCTTTCCTTTCCATTCCATTCCATTCTATTCTATTTGCAATGTTTAAGAAGATGCTTGTATTGAAGTTTTCTGTCACAATGTAGGGAATTTAAGAGAAAGGCATAGAGAAGAAAGAAGTTATGTTGGGGACTTGAGCATGCCTGGTTCTACCAGAAAACAAATTGACATGGCTACCTTCAACGGCACACACTCTTCTCATCAAGAAGCAACTAGATAAGTCTTGGTGCTATCATGGTGTTTTAACCTGAATACTAGTTAGGAGTCCTTCAGGTTGCTTGCTTGTCTGCACCTCAATCTCCGTCAATGCCAGGTCTTCTGGAACCCAAATGAAAAGGTTTTGTTCCTTCAACAATGTAAAGCTTTGACTTGTGTTGTAGTGATGCCCTGGGGATGTTTATGATCAAGCTCTTATCCATGTTTTAAATGTTTCAGTCTATACAATAACAGTCACCCTCATCCTTTCCCTGCAAGTTGCTGATGTTTTCTTTGTGGTATTTGTGGATGCAAGAAAGAGGAGGAACAGAACAGAACAGAACAGAACAGAATAGGAGTAGGGTAGGGTAGGATAGGGTAGGGTAGGGTAGGGTAGGGTAAGGTAGGGTAGGGTAGGGTAGGGCAGGGCAGGGTAGAATAGAATAGAATAGAATAGAATAGAATAGAATAGAATAGAATAGAATAGAATAGAATAGAATAGAATAGAATAGAATAGAATTTCTGTCATTTCTTTTTGACAATGTGTCACTTGACACACTGACAAGGCTGGGATCCATGAGAGCAGAGATTTTTTTTTCTTTTGATCTTTAGCAGATGTTTTTGTTCCCATTCCCCTTGAGTCTGTACCACTGTGGTTTTTGAAAACTACTCCCTGCACCATAATACACGCTACAGTAATAGGTAGCTTCATCTTCTGCCTGGACCTGAGTGATGGTCAAATACCACTTGTTGCCAGTTCTGGAGCCCGAAAATCGATCTGGGATCCCTTCCCCTCGCTTGTTCTCCCCAAAATAGATGAACCGGATGCCTTGACCCATTTTATCTTGATACCAGCCCACGTTGTGGTTCTCCAAACCGCTGCTGAGCGTGCAAAGGAATCTCGCCTCACCTCCATTAGGTACAGACAGTTTAAGTGGCTGAGTTAAGAGACCCTGGCTGAGGACATCTACAAAGGAAGACAGAGAGGAGAAGGTTCAGCTCGGTAATCCAAGTGGAGGAGCGATGGTCAATTTAAACAGAAGAGAAAGAACATTTCCTGGTCTAATTTAGATTGTAGACTATAAAATTGACCTCTTCTTACCTGAGCAGCAATAGAGGAGGAGGAGAAGAACGTTCCAAAGCATGTTGGACGAGTAGAATCAAGATTCTTTGGATGTCTGATTGTGGGTTAGGAACATTGCCTCTTTTAAGTGGTTTATGCAAATATTCCAGTTACTCTTTGCGTCTGAACCTTCCCCTTAAAATATATAGTCTTAGCGTCCTAGGCTGCATGAATAGAGGGAATAGAATCAAGATCATGCGAAGTGCTAGTACCACTTTACAAAGCCTTAGAAGGACCACACTTGGTCTAGTGCATCTGCTTTTGGTCATCATATTATAAATAAAGATGTTGAGACTCTGGAAAGAGTGCAGAGAAGAGCAACGAAGAGGATTAGGGGACTGGAGGCTAAAACATATGAAGAACGGTTGCAGGAACTGGGTATGTCTAGTCTAGTGAGAAGAAGGACTAGAAGAGACATGATGGCAGTCTTCCAATATTTGGGGGGCTCCTACAAAGATGGGGGGGATCAAACTATTTTTCAATGCACCAGAAGGCAAGACTAGAAGCAATAGGTGGAAACTAACCAAGGAGAGAAGCAACCTAGAACTAAGAAAAAATTTCCTAATGGCAAGAACAATCAACCAATGGAATGGCTTGCCTTCAGAAGTTGTGGATGCTTCATCACTGGAGGCTTTAATGAATAGACTAGCTAGTCTTTTGTCTGAAATGATATAGAGTCTCCTGCTCAAGCAAGGAGTTGGACTAGAAGATCTCCTAGCTCCCTTTCAACTCTATTATTCTATGTTCTCTTTATGCTCCAGATGATTTATCAAGGAGCCGGACTTCTATTTGCTTTCTTTTTCCAAGTGTCTTCCAAGATAACCTTAAGTGGAGGAGAAGCCTTCCTCAAACTGAAGATTTGAAAGCTGCTATGTATAGATGGAGGCATAAGCATTCTGGAATTTTTTTTAGAAATGAGTTCTCCAATAGAACCTCTTTCTTCAGCAGAAATGAAATTCATTTCATTCATTCATGAAAAGGAAAGAATTGGAGTCTCAAAGGTACTTCTTCAAAAGGCAATTGGACTATGTTTCTTTCCCTTGAGGAAGTCATTTATCTTCTCATCCAAGAAACGTCTTCAGTTGAGACAACCACGGATGATTGAGAATTTCCACAGAAAGAATGGGGGATATTTTAGAGCCTGAATTGTTGGCATACAAAATAGGAACTCTGTATCTGAATGCAGGCGCTTGTTGGGAATTGGCAAGAGATTTTAGCTCATAAATCTTGATGATGTTGGGGATGAGGAAGATAGCAAAGATAGTATCAATGGTGATAGGCGCCTTGGGATGCAATCCTAAAACATCTGGAGCATCATCCGAACACCATCCACATTGATAAAATCAACCCCCAGAGAAAGCAATGGCAAACCACTTCTGAAATTTTGCAAAGAAAATTGCAGGGACCTGTCCAGGCTATTGCTAGGAGACAACACTGACTAGCAAGTTGTGGAAACCCAACCTGGGCAATCAATTTCCAGATCAGTGGATCTTCTGAATTTAGACAATTAGATTGAGAAAACACAACTTGGGCTAACGCAATTTAGGAGAGGGAGCCCCGTGTGCCATTTTGGTTTACAAACTTAGTTTATTCTTAAAACATTCAACATAGACGATAAAGCAAAGCATTATGTATGGATAGGGTTTTCCCCGTATAAGAGTCATATGCAAATCAAGGACATTATAGATTGGAGATCTTTTTTAAAAAAAATTAGTTCTGTGGACGAGAGCATTTAGAGATGTTAAGCTATGAAATTTTGCCCAGGGTAGCAAAATGAACCAATGTCTCCCTCTTGTGTCTAAAGATCAAATAATCACAAAACGTTAGAACAATATTGACAGTATTTTTTTTTTAAAAAAGAGGAATTTTAATTTTACAATGTATTCAATAACTCAAATTTGTGACATTCAGTGAGTCTTGGCACTTTTATTCTGAATCATAGTAACCCCTTCTCAGATGACAAATGTGAACAATCACCTCTGAATTTGAAGTCTAGGAAATTCCAAAGCTAACAATACACCATAAAACAGATGTAAATTGTTGGGTTTTATCATGATAGCAAAGCTCAGATTGTTTTGAAGGCTTCAGAAAAGATCTCGGTGGAATTTTGACCATGCAATTCCACATTTGCCTGAACTACCATCTGTCTCTAGTAAAAGGACTTCACTTCCAAGTAAATAAGCATAGAATTGGACGCTTGGCATTTTAGAAATCATCCCAAAAGTTCCAAAGTTACCCGTTCTTAATGGAGAATTAAGAACATCTTATGTTTTGTAAACATCTCTCTTCTTCTTACAGTTGAGAACAGCTTCAACTTCACTTCCTCGCTTGATTGCATTGTTGGATCTTATGCAAAACCGTAGCTTCCTCCACAATAATACGTAGCTTCATCTTCTGGTTGGATGTCGGCGATGATTAAATAATACGCGTTATCTAATCTGAAGCCAGAGAAACGATCGGGGATCCCATGACCTCTGGAGTAACTGGGAGTCAACACAAGCCGTGGTGCCTGGCCTGCTCTCTGTTGGTACCACGAGACCGCGTAGTCTTCATAACCAATCATCAGGTAGCAGGCAAGTCTTATGGTGTTCCCAAGAGCTGCAGATTGGGAAGCTGGTTGAATCAACCCAACTTGAGAAACAACACCTGGGATATACAAATTTCAAGCTGTATGTTAATGACAAGCAAGGAAACAGATAGTTTGACAGCTCACAAGTTCACATCTGAATAGAATAGAGCTGGAAGGGACCTTGGAGGTCTTCTAGTCCAGCCCCCTACTCAAGCAGGAGAACCTATACCATTTCAGTTAAGTGACTGTCCAGTCTCTTCTTAAAAACTTCCAGTAATGAAGCACCCACAACGTGTGAAGGCCAACTCTTCCACTGGTTAATTGTCCTCACTGTTAGGAAGTTTCTCCTTAATTCCAGGTTGCTTCTCTCCTTGGTTAGTTTCCAACCATTGTTCCTTGTTCTAGCTTTTGGTGCTCTGGAGAATAATTTGACCCCCTCTTCTTTGTGGCATCTTTTGAAAAACAGCCACAAACCCAACCCTGATTCCCGAATAGGACCCACAACCCTCTAATCAAGGATCTACCAAAGAGAAAAACCACACTTCCACCAACAATAGCCAGGGCCAGTACTGAATATAAACAGGGAGCAAACCTCACACTTACTAGCACTGAAGATGTTACCTAGTTGGGTAATGAAACGCCTGCAAGCCAATAACCAAGCTCAGAGAGTACCAAGGACTCCACAATCTAGTGTTACATTCCAAATAAATATACCACAGATGATTCCCCCCCATCCATCTATCTATCTATCTATCTATCTATCTATCTATCTATCTATCTATCTATCTATCTATGTCTTACCTGTCCAGTAGTTGAGAAATAGAAGGCAAAGCAAAATCTGCTCCATGCTCAATTCTCAACGAGGAAGGCAGCTTTTTCGAAAAAAGACACCAATATGGAAGCTCTCCTTTCTTAAATTAAACCCAGAGTTACAAAATAGCACTTTTATGCAAATCTACCCATGCTCATAAGGTCTCAGGGGGATAGGTGATATCACTGGAAAACAAAGACCAAGCATGCATGATGGTGGCAGTTGTAATTCTGGCTTTATATACTCATGTGTCTTCAAGTTGGTCTTGTCCCCTGGTGACTTCCTCGACTCGTCCTTGCTGATTTCTTGGCAACATTTTCAGAAATGGCTTGTCCTTGCTTTGTTCTTCCTAGGGTTGAGAGAGAAGGCATGTCTGACCCAGGTTGACTTAGCCTTCCACCCTTGCAAGGTGGGTAAAATGAGGACCCAAATTGTTGGGGGCAATATTCTGACTCCATAAATCATTTATAGGGGGCTGTAAAAGCACTGTGAAGCGGTATATAAGTCTAAATGCTATGGCTATTGCTATTGCTCTTTCTTTTCCCCCTTCCTTCCTTCCTTCCTTCCTTCCTTCCTTCCTTCCTTCCTTCCTTCCTTCCTTCCTTCCTTCCTTCCTTCCTTCCTTCCTTCCTTCCTTGATGGTGCAGTGGTTAGAATATTAATTCTGCCCACTGTCAACAATTTGATACTGACCAGCTCAAGGTTGACTCAGCCTTCCATCCTTCCGAGGTGGGTAAAATGAGGACCCAAATTGTTGGGGGCAATATTCTGACTCCGTAAACCATTTATAGGAGGCTGTAAAAGCACTGTGAAGCGGTATATAAGTCTAAATGCTATGGCTATTGCTATTGCTCTTTCTTTTCCCCCTTCCTTCCTTCCTTCCTTCCTTCCTTCCTTCCTTCCTTCCTTCCTTCCTTCCTTCCTTCCTTCCTTCCTTCCTTCCTTCCTTCCTTCCTTCCTTGATGGTGCAGTGGTTAGAATATTAATTCTGCCCACTGTCAACAATTTGATACTGACCAGCTCAAGGTTGACTCAGCCTTCCATCCTTCCGAGGTGGGTAAAATGAGGATCCAAATTGTTGGGGGCAATATTCTGACTCCGTAAACCATTTATAGGGGGCTGTAAAAGCACTGTGAAGCGGTATATAAGTCTAAATGCTATGGCTATTGCTATTGCTCTTTCTTTTCCCCCTTCCTTCCTTCCTTCCTTCCTTCCTTCCTTCCTTCCTTCCTTCCTTCCTTGATGGTGCAGTGGTTAGAATATTAATTCTGCCCACTGTCAACAATTTGATACTGACCAGCTCAAGGTTGACTCAGCCTTCCATCCTTCCGAGGTGGGTAAAATGAGGACCCAAATTGTTGGGGGCAATATTCTGACTCCGTAAACCATTTATAGGGGGCTGTAAAAGCACTGTGAAGCGGTATATAAGTCTAAATGCTATGGCTATTGCTATTGCTCTTTCTTTTCCTCCTTCCTTCCTTCCTTCCTTCCTTCCTTCCTTCCTTCCTTCCTTCCTTCCTTCCTTCCTTCCTTCCTTCCTTGATGGTGCAGTGGTTAGAATATTAATTCTGCCCACTGTCAACAATTTGATACTGACCAGCTCAAGGTTGACTCAGCCTTCCATCCTTCCGGGGTGGGTAAAATGAGGACCCAAATTGTTGGGGGCAAGAGGCTGACTCCGTAAACCATTTATAGGGGGCTGTAAAAGCACTGTGAAGCGGTATATAAGTCTAAATGCTATGGCTATTGCTATTGCTCTTTCTTTTCCCCCTTCCTTCCTTCCTTCCTTCCTTCCTTCCTTCCTTCCTTCCTTCCTTCCTTCCTTCCTTCCTTCCTTCCTTCCTTGATGGTGCAGTGGTTAGAATATTAATTCTGCCCACTGTCAACAATTTGATACTGACCAGCTCAAGGTTGACTCAGCCTTCCATCCTTCCGGGGTGGGTAAAATGAGGACCCAAATTGTTGGGGGCAAGAGGCTGACTCTGTCAACTGCTTAGAGAGGGCTGTGAAGCACTATGAAGCGGTATAGAAGTACTATTGCTATTCATTTGTCGTGAAGGTTGACTCATGGGGCCAGCAGTAGAGTGAAATTGCTCACACCTTACCTGACCAATAACTGAGGAATGTTTTTGTCAGATGTAAATGCCTTATTCTCCAATGTGTAAATAATGTATATATGGAACATCAGAGGTTAACTTATTCTTTGGACTTTAATGTATTCATAACTTACCACTCCCATTCCTAGCTCCACCCCTTGTATATATAAGGAGCCACCCTCACCATTCTCGTTGCTTCTACCTTGAATATTCAGTGAATATAGAATGCCTATCATAATTAAAAAGAAATATATTTAAAGCTCTAACTCCTATTATCTTTATTGAGTCTGATCCTGAAAATATTGCAACAATCTGGTAGCAGAGGATGGTTAATTGACTCAATAAGTAATTAAAAATGTCCAAGAAAGATAGGCCCAACACCAGGGCCTACAGCAAAGAAATAGAAACTGATCAAGAGATGATCAACGAATCCACCAATGCGATTTCGAGAGAATCCGAAGAATACACCACTGAAGAAGAAGAACTAATGAGTGAAAATAATGACCAGAAAGAAATCGAAATAGAAAATAACGAACTCAGGTCAGAGATATTAAAGATACTAAAAAGTCAAAAGAATGATGAAAGTCTCATCGCGGACCTCCAGGAGATGCTGAAGAACAGCGGAGCAGCGAGAGAGAAAAACGTCATTAAAGAAAAACCCAAAGATCAAAAAACCGTAAGTGAGATGACTACTGAGAAAATAGTTGTTAAAAAGAAAAGATGTGATCCCGCGCGAAATTTTGAATGGCAGCCATCTTGGTTTCAACGAACTTCAAAAGAGAATGGAGCAGAGCCAATCAAAACGCTCAGTTCAAAATTTCTGGCGCGAAAAACACTATCAGACGAAGAAAGTGAGAAAGAAGTCTCAAACTCTTCAGATGATCCAAAATCAGAAAGTGAAGACGATTTAACAAAATCTCAAGTAAAATCAGCAATGAAAACACTTTTTGCTGCTTTTGGGCCAAGACTGAAAATTACCAAGACATCTACGAAGAAGCAAGAAATCAAACCGGCGACTCAAGACCTGCACGCTCCCATCCTGACTTCGAAAGCGACGACGCCCGAGCCCAGAGAGCCATGCCGATTTCGCCCTACACCACAGACAAGATCGAATACCAACGCACACAAAAAGAAGAAAAGAACCGTCGCCACCACCAGAACCCCAAAAACCGAGCCAGAGACCGACTCATCTGAAGAGGAGCGGATCGAGAGAGCTGAAAGGGAGAGAACCTTCCACGACGCCACCAAAGAAGAAATGAGCAACGCGCATGTGCGAAACTACGTAGACGACCCAGAAGGACTTGAACTGGCCAGAGAACCGCGCAGACTCATTGCAAGCATCCCAATGCCGTTCTGTAATTTCCTGCACTTGAGAGATCACGGACTGCCCCAGGTTGTAAGTAATGGACAGAATAATGTAGGTAACTTACCCAGTGACTTCCCAAAACTTAGAATTGATGGCATTAATTTACAAGAGTGGTATCAACAGCTTCAGGTTATTTTCATGAAAGAAAATTTACTATTCTTTATAACTAGCCCTCCAAGAAGACCTTGGACTTTAAAAATAGATTGTTTACATCATAGAGCATTTTTCATAATAATATCTAGCGTGTCTCCTGCAATGTATCATAGCATCAAACCAAACCTAACTGTATCAGAAATAATTCAATGCATGTTTAATCTATTTCACAGCGATAGCGTAGCTACAACCACAAGAATGTCTAAGGATTTCTTTTCCTCTAGAGTAAAACCAGGGGTTTCTATAAGTGAGCATTTGATAAATCTAAACAAAATAAGAGCTGAGCTACAATTGAGGGGGGAAGTGATTTCAGATCAAACAATGAAAAGTGTTATTATCAATTCACTTGATCCATCATGGGATAGCTTTATGTCACACTTAGATACCATTAATTTGGGATATTTATCCATAGAAAGTCTATCTAACAAATTGATAGCAGAAGACAATTCAAGAAAAAATCGATCCAGTAACCAAACAGACCACAAACCTTTTAGGAAAGTAGTCTTTCAAGATAAACATAATGAGGCCTTTAGATGCTACAATTGTGGATCCAGGGAACATAGTAGAAGAGACTGTCCCAAAGTCTCAAGAGAGAGACATAGGCCAGAATATAGGAGCAAATATAATTACAGACAATCTTCCACAGATAGACACAAATATAGAAGTCCACCAAATTACAAAGAAGGTAGAGAAAATTCAAAAGAGAGGAAATCTGGGTCACTGAATGGGCTAAATAAACAAGACAGCACCAGAACACAGCAGGATGAGAATAACAATTGGCTTATTGATTCTGGTGCAACAAATCACACCACCAACAACAAAAGTATATTATCTTCATTTATAGAAGATAAGTTTGTGATAAAGGTAGCTAATCAAGAAAAGGTTCAAGTACTAGGCAAAGGAAATGTGACCTTGCCTGGTCTAGGGAAAATAGAGGGGGTATTATTAATCCCAGAAATACCTCACAACATACTAAGTGCCATAAAATTAAGCAGAGAATCTGATATCAATATAGTTTTCTCAAAAGGGAAAGCAACTATAGAAAAGAACAAAACAAATGTAGGTACTGTAATGATAAAAGGAGGTCTACCCTATCTGATAACTAAAGAAAGATGTTTACATAACATTGATTCAAATATGGAAGATTGTATTGAAGCAGATGATGAAAATGTCAGTAACAGTGACAATGATGAGTGTAGAATAACTCATGATCACAAAAATACATACAAGGAAAAGAAACCAAAAATAGGTAAACCAATTCATGATGAGTGTGCTCACATCTTACACAGGAAGTTAGGACATGCAAGCTTTCCTGTAGTACAAAAAATGACTGAACACGCAGAAGGTGTCAAAATAAAAAATTGTGAAAATTATTTGGAATGCTCAGTATGTAAATCCACCAAACTAAAAACCAGTCCCAGACCAAAAAAATCTAACAGATCAACTAACAATATTTTTGATTTGGTACATATGGACTTAGTTGGTCCATTAAGTCCCTCAATTACCTATAGAAAACGTTACTTCCTAACAATAGTGGATGACTACAGCCGATATGGTTTTGTTTACACATTAAAGCACAAGGATGAAACATTTCAGAAATTTAAGGAATTCTACAAACGTATAGAAACACAACATAATATCAGAATAAAGCAAATTATGACAGATAGGGGATGTGAGTTCATGTCTAAAGAATTCTCCCAATGGTTAAAGGATAGAGGAATGTTACATTTCACGTCCAATCCTTTTTCTGCATTTCAAAATGGAGTTGCAGAGAGGAAAAATTCCACACTACAAACCATGATTAGGTGCACATTAGAGGATGCTGGTTTAGGCAAACAATTTTGGTCAGAGGCATTACATTATTCGAATTACACTCAAAATAGAACCTGGTCCAGTATTGTGAATAAGACACCATATGAGGTGATGTACAATAGAAAACCCAAATTATCACACATGCACATATTTGGAGTCACTGCAGACGTACACATACCTAAACAATTGAGGAGAAAGGGAGAAAACGTATCCAGGAGATTAAGATTCATGGGATACGAAACTGGAACCAAAGGGTACAGATTTATTGATAGTAATAACAAATTTATAGTATCCAGAACAGCTGTGTTCCATGAACAGGCCAATTGGTCAAAATTGCACCTTAATGAAATATTTCCTAATAAATGTAAAGATACGATATCTTGCGAGGAAGGAACAACAGAAAATCAAAATATTAACAAAAGTAAGAACAAAACCAAAACTTGGACTAATAGTCAGCATAAAATAAAGACAGACACATTAACAAAAAAGGAAGCTAGATATTTGCATGATAACCATAGCAAGCCTGAAAGAACTATTAGAAACAATAGAAACCAAATACCAAATAAATACAAAGATTACATAATGCATATGAATGGAGAACAAATAACACCTAATACATATGAAGAAGTATTGAAACTTCCACATGAAGAAAGAGAAAAATGGGAACTAGCTATGGAAAAAGAGATGGAAAGTTTACAAGGATTAAATGTATTCACACCTGCGATCGCACCTAAGGATAAAACAATTATAGGTACCAGGTGGATTTATAAAATTAAGAACTTAGAAGGAGGCAATACCTTATACAAGGCTAGACTAGTTGCACAAGGCTATGCACAAAAATATCCAGAAGACTATACTGATACATATTCACCCACAGTGAGAACAGAGAGTGTCAAAACAGCCCTTGTAGTAGCATCTGCACTCAATCTGGACGTATTCCAATATGACATACAGACCGCATACTTACATGCAAAATTAGATAAGGAAATATATGTAAGAGCACCACACAGTCAATACACTAATAAGAACGAAATTTGGTTATTAAATAAGAGTCTGTACGGATTAAAGCAATCCGGCAAAAGATGGTACGATTGCTTGGTAAAAGTACTTAAGACCATGGATTTCAACGCCACCACTGCTGATAATTGTTTCTTTGTAAAAAAGAGTAATGATCATATTGAATTTGTATTAATTTACGTGGACGATATTTTATACATTGGAAAGCATAAAGAGAGCAGGGAAATCTTTGTAAATAAGTTAAATGAACACTTCTCACTGAAATCTCTGGGTAAAGTGAATAAATACCTTGGTGTGCAAATTAACAAAACTAAAAGGGGATTCAAACTTACACAGAAAGATAAAATCATCGAACTCCTAAACAAATGTAACTTAAATAATGCCAAAACCTGTGACACCCCTATGCAAACTGATTTTCTTAGAAACACTGATGAATCTTCCCCTGAGTTTAAAGACAACACATTTTACAGATCATTTATAGGTTCACTCCTTTATATATCTAATTGGACTAGGCCAGATATTGCATTACCTCTCAATCTACTGTCAAGATATGTTAGTAAACCAACCTTGTATCATTGGGAAGCTGTCAAAAGAATTCTAAGATATCTGAAGGGTACATTAGATTTTTGTTTAATGTTGGAACCCAATAATGACAGAGAACCAAAAATTACTTGTTATGCTGATGCAGATTGGGCTGGTGATACATCATGCAGAAAGAGTACTTCTGGTTATGTTTTTCTATTGAATGATTGTCCAGTTTACTGGTATACTGGTAAACAAGAACTAGTAGCCACTTCTACTACAGAAGCGGAATATGTTTGTTTGTCCAAGGCTGCAAATAACCTTGTATGGTTCAATGATCTGATCACTGATGTTTGGAAGAAACCCACTTTACCATTTATTATGCATGAAGACAATAAAGCGGCCATTGAAATATCCAGATCCGATGCAATTGGACAAAGGTCCAGGCATATTGATATAAAGTTTAAGCATGTGAGACAACTGTCTCAAGACGGATTCATTAAAGCAATACATTGCGATACTTCTGAACAATTAGCTGACATATTAACAAAACCCTTACCTTCTAAACAACACAAATATTTAACTTCTAAATTATATGTATTATATTGTCCTGAATCAGAATGTAATTGGTGTTGTGTAACGAACCGGCATTTAGAGGGGGATTTGTCAGATGTAAATGCCTTATTCTCCAATGTGTAAATAATGTATATATGGAACATCAGAGGTTAACTTATTCTTTGGACTTTAATGTATTCATAACTTACCACTCCCATTCCTAGCTCCACCCCTTGTATATATAAGGAGCCACCCTCACCATTCTCGTTGCTTCTACCTTGAATATTCAGTGAATATAGAATGCCTATCATAATTAAAAAGAAATATATTTAAAGCTCTAACTCCTATTATCTTTATTGAGTCTGATCCTGAAAATATTGCAACAGTTTTGAACTCTATGAGGAGGGCTCTGTAGGAACACCTCCGTTGATTTTTGCCTTTATTATAAAAAAGTCAGAAATGAAGAATGGAAGGATTTATATTCCTTGCAATCATCTGGTCCTTAGAACTCCCAGTGAAGTCTGTGGGGAAAAAAACAGGTATATAAATCCTTCCATTATTCCACAGTTCAGTCAGAACTGAAGAAGCTTCTTGGATGAGAAGTGAAATGTCTTCAAGGAAAAAACAAAGTAAGTCCACTTGCCTCCGCAGAGGTACTGGTCTACCAGGCTTTTAACTGCTTGCAGAGCTGTACCGGTCTACTCATTTATTTTTGCAGGCACTGGTCTACTCATTTGTTTGCTTTTAACACTGATCAGCTGTAGGGCGGCCCTTTGAGGCCCCGCGGCAAGAGTTTAAACAGTTTTTTTCCCTCTAGCCATCAGCTGGGACTCAGGAGGCAGCAATAGATTGGGGGTGGGGCCAAATAAAAGGTAAGACTAACGTGGGGGTGGGGCAGAACCTGTTGGGTGACGTCATATCATCACTGCTACCGGCTTGGTCGAACCGGGCTGAACTGGGAGGAACCCACCACTGTGTTACATCCAATTCACTGTGTTTCAATGTATTCCAAAGAATTGCTTGTGCTTCACTGCTTGGTTGAGAGTGAGTTGAGAGTGGTTGTTGACCAGGGCTGTGAGCGGCCGTAAGCCGAACCTGGGAACACGTGCAACAGCACCTCGGTTGATTTGTGTCTCAGTCGTGCATTGAATCAAGCTTTCTAAGGACTTCTACGTTCCTCTGCTGTGGAAGACGAGAGGAGGTTTTTGTCTCAGTTCCTCATCAGATTGTACCACCATGCAACAAGTTGGCACTGCTTTGCCACATGAAACAGTAATAACCAGCCTCGTCTTCAGCCTGGATTCCAGTGATGGCTAAATAGCCAGTGGATCCTGAGACAGAAGCCGTGAACCGATCTGGGATCCCGTCACCCCTGTTTCCACCAGAACGGTGCACATAGCGAGGAATCTGCCCAGACTTTTGTTGGTACCAGGAAATAACATTCACGCTTCCGCTAACAGTGCAGGATAATTTTGTTGTTTGTCCCAGAGCGACAGACACGGAGGTTGGCTGGATCCAGGCTGGCTGCGAACTGACCCCTTGGAGAAGAGAAAGCAACAGATATTTGACTCATTTTCTAGATTTTTGGAACGCCAGCAAAACATAGTATATTTTGAAGTGCTGATCTGGGTGCAGCAGATCTTTGCTTTCATGGAGAACCAAAAAGATCACGATGATAAGATTTTCTGTTCTCCGAAATACTACAGCTGCACCGCGTTTCTACTAGCAATGCTCAATGTCCATGCCTGCTTACCTGAATAGTAATGTAGAAAGGAAAAGAGAAATATGGACCAGATCATGGTAGGTTATCTAGATCGACAGGTTGAGACAGATGAAAATAAAATGGTGATAATTATGGTGCAGGCTTTCTCTCCTTGCCCTCTTAAATCTGCTCAACATGCATTAATGACATCCATGCAAATATTTTGATTTTGCTAGCCAAGCACGCCACCTCCTTAGCAGAAACAAATGACCAGAGGAAAAATTTGCATAAACCAGATTTGTGTAAATACTGACGAGAGAAAACCTTGGGGCATGGCAGAAAATAGGTCCATGCACTTGAAGCACAAGTTAACTGTGTTTCCCAAGAGGAGGAACTAAGCACTGAAAAAAACATTCATGTTAGGGATTGTTTTGACTATCAGGCAGTGGTGAAATGTAAAATTTATTACTACTGGTTCCGTGGGCATGGCTTGGTGTGGGGGGGTTATATGACTGGGTGGGCGTGGCCAACTTTTTTTTTTTTACTTTTAAAAGCATTTTTTCTACAACCTCCTCAGCCAAAGAGGTTGCAGGAAAAAAATGCTTTTAAAAGCCTCTGACGATCCCAGCTGAGCCGCGCTTTCTGCCATTAGATGATTCTGAACTACTAATGGTCAAAGCAATTTGGCGGTAGATAAGGAATTCACAGTGAGTTGGATTTAGATCTTTGGTGGGGATGAAGGGACTCTTGATGATGTGTTTGACCCCTGCCTTGGGCTCAGCCTGGACCTCTCCCACAACACCAGCTGTATCATACTTCATTGGCTCCTTGGTCATTTGCTACCCACTCTACCTTTCCCTTGTAGACTTACGTTGACATTTTGATTTATTCACAAAGACAAAGCATTCCTTAAGGCAGTGTTTCCCAAACTTGGGAACTTCAAGATGTATGGACTTCAACTCCCAAAATCCCACAGCCAGCCATGCTTTAAGGCCATGTGAAAGTCAACCATTGTTCATCCTAGTCCTTGGATTTCAGAAATGACACCTTCTCAAGCTATGCATGTAAAAAAGAGCTTTATTCAAACACAAAAACCTAAACATTTGATGCATGCAAACAGCCTTTGCTCTTTCCCCCACTTTCCCCCACTTTGCTCTTTTCCAGCCACTACAATAGAAGTTTTTGACGATTCCAAATTTGGTGATTTTTTTTAAAAAAAATAATATATTGAAAAAGGTTACTTTCCAACATTCGGATGGCTCTCTAAATTCAAGACAAATAACTTCAAGCAGCTTGAACAACTCAAGAGGAACAGGTATAACACTCCAGTAAATCACCCCAACCGATGTGAACAATTTGCTAAACTTTCTAGATGAAATAGACATCCAGTTAATATCATTCCATTTCAAGTTTTCTTGTATTCGATCCTTTCTACTTTCACCTCATCCCCGATGAGTTGATACACATAAGTTACAACCACGGAGGACTGAACATCCATCAGAACGAACGACGGAATTACATCCCTGGAAAAAAAGAAACATTTGTAGTTGAAACAGGAAGCAATTTCTCCAAAATTTGCAGTATTGGTTCATTTAAAAAACCAGTCTTAATATAACCAGGTCTGAATTTCTATCACATACATTATGTTAACCTATGACATACTATCAAACATAGTATGTCAGTCCTAGAGGAGACCAACCCTGACTGCTCTTTAGAAGGCCAGATCCTGAAGAGGAAACTCATATCCTTTGGCCACCTAATGAGAAGGAAGGACTCCCTGGAGAAGAGCCTAATGCTGGGAACGATGGAGGGCAAAAGAAGAAGAAGGGGATGGCAGAGAACGAGATGGCTGGATGGAGTCACTGAAGCAGTTGGCGTGAGCTTAAATGGACTCTGGGGGATGGTAGAGGACAGGAAGGCATGGAGGAATGTTATCCATGGGGTCACAATGGGTCAGACACAACTTCGCGATTAACAACAAGGACATACTATACTATTTCTAAATTAATTTCTGGCTAAAAAAGTGCATTCGTTCAGGATTTACTTATTTAGGTAGGGCATCTACATGCATGCACCGATTTACACATTTAATTTAAATGAAGCAACAGCAAACATATGCATATAAGGTATGTGGACAATACAATATAGGAGATAAAATAATAAATTAAGATAAAGCCACAATAAAATCACGGTAATATGGAGCCATAGAATTGCAATGGAATAGATGTTATAATTTGATATCTAAGGAAGCCAACCATCTAACTGCTTCAAAGGTGGCTGTGATTAGATCTTCCCAGGATTTATTGAAATCTTCTATGATATATAATTAATAATCTTAATTCCCCCCCCCCAATTGCATCCGCCTAGTGAAAAAAGATGGGAGAAATGTTGGCAGAAAAGACTATTAAATTTAGTGGACGTGAACATGCTTTGTGTTTAACCCAAAGATGGCAGAATTAAATCTTCCTATGGTCTAAAGAACAATTTCCCAATCTGATTGTTACAGGTTCCCATGGTACGTATTCGGAAGATGGACAATTTCCACATATTCTTCCTTTGCTCTATTTTAGAAAAACGAAATGTAATTTTCACTCAAGGTTTTCCAAGAAGAGATTGGATGCCCATCTGTCTGGAATTTTATAGGATCTCCTGCTTGAGTAAGGGGTTGGACGAGAAGACCTCCAAGATCCTTTCCAACCCTGTTACTCTACTTCACTCTGCTGAAGACCTTCAACAATTTATGGATGGTTTTTGCAAGGCCTGCCAAGACTTTGGACTAACAATCAGCCTGCAAAAAACACAAGTTATGCGTCAGGACATGGATTCACCTCCCTATATTACAATCTCTGCACAAGAACTGGAGGTCGTCCACGATTTTGTGTATCTCGGCTCAACTATCTCTCACACTCTCTCTTTAGATACTGAGCTGAATAAACGTATTGGTAAAGTGGCCACCACATTTTCCAGACTTACAAAGAGAGTATGGCTTAATATGAAGCTGACGGAACATACAAAGATCCAGGTCTATAGAGCCTGCGTCCTTGTACTGCAGTGAGTCTTGGATCCTTTACGCACGGCAGGAGAGAAAGTTGAACACCTTTCATATGCTCTGTGTCCGACGTATTCTTGGCATCACCTGGCAAGTTCCAAGTAGCGCAGTCTTGGAACGTGCTGTAACCGGGAGGTTACACGAGGCTGGCTCCAGGGTATTATCAACGCTTCGTTGAGTGAGGGTTACTTCCCCGCGGCCTTGAAGGAGGCGGTGGTGAGGCCTCTCCTCAAGAAGCCGTCCCTGGATCCAGCAATATTGGCCAACTACCGTCCTGTCTCCAACCTTCGCTTCCTGGCGAAGGTTGTTGAGAGTGTGGTCGCGCGACAGTTCCCGCAATTCCTGGAGGAAACATCCTATCTGGATCCGTTCCAGTCTGGTTTCAGGCCTGGGCACAGCACGGAAACGGCATTGGTCGCGTTGGTTGATGATCTCTGGAGGGCTCGGGACAGGGGTTGCTCCTCTGTTCTGGTCCTGTTAGACCTCTCAGCGGCTTTTGATACCATCGACCATGGTATCATGCTGCACCGGTTGGAAGAGTTGGGGATGGGGGGCACCGTGTTACGGTGGTTCTCCTCCTTTCTCTCCGACCGGTCGCAGTTCGTGTTGGCAGGGGGGCAGAGGTCGACCTCGAGGCCTCTTATATGTGGAGTGCCTCAGGGGTCGGTCCTCTCGCCCCTCCTGTTCAACATTTATGTGAAGCCGCTGGGCGAGATCATCCGTGGCTTTGGGGTGAGATACCATCAGTACGCTGATGATACTCAGCTGTACATTTCCACCCCAGGCCACCCCAACGATGCCCTTGAAGTGATGTCCCAGTGCCTGGAGGCTGTACGGATCTGGATGGGGAGGAACAGGCTCAGGCTCAACCCTTCCAAGACTGAGTGGCTGTGGTTCCCGGCATCCCGATATAGTCAGTTGACTCCATCACTGACTATTGGGGGCGAGTCTTTGGCCCCCACAGAGAGGGCTCGCAATCTGGGAGTCCTCCTGGATACACAGCTGTCCTTGGAGGAACATCTGACGGCTGTAACCAGGGGGACCTTTTATCAGGTTCGCCTGATCCGCCAGTTGCGGCCCTTTCTTGATCGGGATGCCTTGTGCACAGTCACTCATGCCCTCGTGACCTCTCGCCTTGATTACTGCAATGCTCTCTACATGGGGCTCCCTTTGAGGAGCACCCGGAGGCTCCAACTGGTCCAGAACGCAGCAGCGCGGGTAGTGACGGGAGCAGCGTGGCGCTCCCATGTAACACCGCTCCTGCGTGAACTGCACTGGCTCCCGGTGGTCTTCCGGGTGCGCTTCAAGGTGTTGGTTATCACCTTTAAAGCGCTCCATGGCATAGGGCCTAGCTATCTTCGAGACCGCCTACTGCCACCGACGACCTCCCACCGACCCGTGCGCTCCCACAGAGAGGGCCTCCTCGGGGTGCCATCAGCCAAACAATGCAGGCTGGTGACCCCCAGGGGGAGGGCCTTCTCTGTGGGGGCACCTACCCTCTGGAATCAGTTGCCCCCTGAGATAAGGAGAATCCATGACCTCAGTGCCTTCCGCCGTGCCCTTAAAACTTTCTTTTTTCAACAAGCCGGGCTGGCTTAATTTCTTTTTAAGGGTTTTATTAATTGTTCTGTTTTGCTGATCGTTTTTAATTAACGGGGCCAAATCTATATATATTTTTAAATGTGTTTTAATATTTGTATTTGGTGTTTTTATCTGGCTGTTCACCGCCCTGAGTCCTCAGGGAGAAGGGCGGTATACAAATTCAAAAATAAATAAATAAATAAATAAATGTATACACTATTGAAACAGCGACGTCTATGCTGGCTTGGACATGTCGAGAGAATGGCTGATGGTCAGATTCCGAAAGATCTCCTGTATGGAGAATTAGTGCAGGGAAAGCGCCTCAGAGGGAGACCACAGCTGCGATATAAGGATATCTGCAAGAGGGACCTAAAGGCCCTGGGAATGGACATTAACGACTGGGAAACCTTGACCTCCGATCGTTCAGCTTGGAGGGTAAAGACGCAGCATGGCCTTCTCCAATTCGAAGAGACACTTGTTCGGCAGGCCAAGGCAAAGAGGCAGTCCCGGA